TGAGGAATGTTTTCAATGAAATTATAGTAGTTATTAAAATGTAAAAGAAATTACATATTCATTAAATAAATAACCAAAATAATTAATTTTTGTTGTTTTTTTATTTTATCTCACATACAATTTTTTTGAAAATATATATTAGGAAATATGTGCAATGATTTAACTTTTTGAGTTCTTAATCTATATTATTCAAGCCTCATTAACCCATCCACGTAGGTAGCCGCGTGGGATTCACTTTTTTTTTGGTCGGTTTATTTTTGGATTCATTTTTTATTATTTTTGGGTTGAACTATATTATAATAGGATAGTTTTAAGGCTCTTTAAGCCATCCGCGTAGGCAACCGCGTGAGACTTGCTTTTTTTTTTGTTTTTTTATTGTTCGTTTTTGCATCCATTTTTAACTATTTTTGGTTTGAACTCGTTAATCTTTAGGGTTTATCCAACTATTTTGGTCTTTAAAACAATAAGCCATAATGAAAAAAACATAAAAACCTTACAAACAAAAAGCCCATATGATAATAAACCAAATAAAAAAATCAAAAATAAATGATGGCTGCGTGGTTTGAACCCATGATCTTGCATGCTTAATTAGGCATCTTATACCACTTGGCTAAAGTGTATTTCATTGTTTGTAATCATCTTACCAAGACTATAAGTTTTTAAAAAATACCTACGGGACCCACAAAACTGCTGACGTGGCGCGTTGTGGAGCCTAGAAAGTGTACTATTATAATATAGATTGTCTAGGCAAACCTATTGCTTGAAGCACTACAGTAATGAAACTCCATTTAACAGTGTCAAAAGCTTTGGAAATATCCAGCTTGATGGTACTACGATCAGTGATATTGGGGAGATGATAACCCTTCACCAGCTCTGTGGCCAATAACACATTCTCCAATAATAATCTCCCTTTGATGAAAGCACTCTGGTTTGGCTTGATAGCTGCAGGAAGTATCACTTTGAGGCGGTTGGCTGGAATCTTAGAGATTACCTTATAGAGGAGATTGCAACATGATATAGGCCGATAGTCCTACATAGTCTGAGCTGGGATCTTCTTGGGTATTAAAGCCAAAATGGTGGAATTTACACCAGTGGGAAGAAAGCCATAAAGAAAAAAATGACTGAATCACCGTGATAAAGTCCCTTCCCACCACATGTCAAGCCTCGATGAAGAACTCCTTAGTGAATCCATCAAGACCTGGAACTTTTTTATTTGGGAGTGATTTTAAGGCTTGAAGTATCTCTTGAGGGGTCACAGGGGATATCAGACCAGATTTTTCCTGAGGAGAGCATCGATAACTCAGTAAAGCTTGTAGAGCATTCATTGAAATAGGAGAGCTTCTAGTCGGCTCGGTTTGGAGAAACTTTTGAAAGTGATTGACAGCTTCTTTCCTGATCGCTGATGGCTCCGTTAATACCTCACCATCCTCGGAATATAGCACATTTATATTATTCCTTGCTGAGAGATCCTGGACAGCATGATGGTAGAAAGTGGTGTTTTGATCTCCTAGAGCTAGCCATTGGATTCTTGATTTTTTGCATTAGAAATTTCTCCTCCACTAGTGCTAAGTGATGCCACCGTTTCGAAGCTTCCTCCTCAGCGACAAATGTGGTAAGACTAGGATCAGCTAACACTTTTTCTTGGCAACGACACAAATGTTCATATGCTTGCTTTGTTCGGCTGTGGAGATCTCCATAGTGAGTTTTATTCAAACCCCGCAAAGCACACTTCAGTGACTTTAGCTTCTGGTGGAACATGCTTAGAACTGTTCGAGAATGAAATATAGTTCCTGTAATCTCCCATTTGCTCTGAATAGTAGACAAGAAGTCTTCATGCTTAGCCAAATAGTTAAAAATTTAAACGGCTTACGCTTCCCAACAGACTGTTGCTTCAAATGAACCACACACCTGGCATGATCAGATACACCCCCTGTTTCCAATGAAGCAAATGACTGAGGATATACTAGAAGCCAGTCCCCATTTATTAGAGCTTTGTCCAACTTTTTACCTATCGGGTCAGCACCCCTCTTGTTCCACCACGTAAATAAAGCTCCAACATAGGCCAGATCCGTAAGTGTAGTATCAGTGACCAGCTCCTGAAATTGCGTCATACCTGATTGGTTTTTAAATAATCTTGAGCTCAAGAATGCTCCGTAGAGGACATAGTAGTATTATAGTCCCCAATAAGTATCCACGGCATTGCAAGATGCTGGTAGGCCTGTTGAGTTGCTCTGATATCAACCCATAATTGCCTCCTCTCCGCAGGGAAATATGACGCATAAATAGCAGAACATATAAACTGATCTCCCTTCTCCGTTTGCACGGCACATGAGATGATTTGTGCACTTTTGTGAAGCAAAGTTATAGTTATCCCAGGACCCCAACAAAACAAGATACGACCAAGGCGATGATGATCATAATTCGTTATGGAAGACCAACCATGTAACGCCGCTTTAACAATCTCCAGACACTTACTCTCTTTTTTTTTCAAAAAAGAAAATAAAAAACAAAATAGCAAAAATAGTTTCAAAATGTATTTTTGAATTTCAAAAAAAAATTGTAAAAAGAAAAAAAAATTGATAAAAAATCGAAGTTAAGAAAATATAATTTGAAATAATAAAAAGATATACTTTTTTTATTATTTCTATATCTATAAAAAGGGGAAAAATGGTATTTCTTTTTTATTGAATTTTTTTGATCATTTTTTTTTTGAGAACTCTTTTGTGACAAAACTTAAAAAGATATTAAATAGAATTGTCTAATTTAGAATGATCTTCATTTTTATGCTACATTTATTTTCCTAAGAGCATCTCCAAAAAGACACTTTATTTTAGAGTTTGTAAAATTATATTGTTTAAGTTGCAATATGTTTTTCTCCAAAAACAAAATTTCAAATCTAACTTTAAAACTATTTGTATTTTACTCTATGGTCCTTATACTTGTCATAATTAATATAAATTTATATTTTTTTTTTATAAATAACTAGCACATATATGAAAAAAACATAACAATAATATTAATCAAAAAATATTTACTCTAAATTATAGAACTGTAAATAGAAATACATAACTAAATAATAAACTACAAAAAAATATCACATTTTTCATAAAATTATTTCTCTAATGCTCCATCTTCAGTTATACAATACTTATTTGGATAATATTTTGGAGATTTTGAAGGTTTTAGAGAAAATTTATCATACTTAATTGTTCTAATATTTAAATTTATGTAATAACTATGTTTTCACACCTTTTAAATTTTTCAAAGTTTTTTTTGAAATATTTGTGAAAATCTATTAATTTTAGTTTTAAAATAATATAAATTTTATTTTAAAGTTTTATGTATAAAACTTAAATTTATAAGAAAAAAATCTGAAATATTTATAAAATATACATTTTTAAGGATTAAAATGTAAAATGGAAAAAAATTGAAAAATTATAAATATAATATATAATTAATTGTAAAGATCAAAATACAAATAAAAAGATGAAACTTTAAATTTAAAGTTTTAAAAAATGAAACTTTGAAGTTTCACTCCTCCAAACTTCAAATTTGAAGTTTTGAAATTTGTTTTTGGAGAGCTAAAAACTTTTTATTTAGTGTTATATAGTGTATTTTAAAGATGTTCTAAAGATTGGATTATTTTCTCGGATCATTTGAGTAAGTTACAAATAGTGGTCAGGGTAAGTTCAGGTCATTTTGAACCTATTCAAATTTTTTTTTTTTTTTTTTTACTTTTGTGACATATGTTATGTTAAATTTATGTAATATTTGAAAATGTGAATACAAAACTTTAATTAAAAACTCAGATAAAAACATAAATGTTAATTAATTTATGTAAAATATTTTAATAATATTAAAAATTATTAACTGCAGAATCTAAATTTTTTTTATGTGACATAGGAGTCCAAATTTTTTTTGCCCAAAGACCCTTATTGTGTTGAGCCAACCCTGAACTCATCTTCTAAGATTAGTGAAGCTTGTTAGATCAGAAAGCAAAACGAGTTGTATTATTGTTTCTTTCTCTCCTCTTGAAGAAAAAAATCATTTCGAGTAACATTTTTCCCCCTTTTTCCGTTTCTGTTCTTGAATATCTTCAAAATGAAAAATAAAGTGGAGACATTTTATCACTTCAACTACTCTTATAATTAATTTTCTTTTTCTCATATTTCAGTTCCTCTTAATTTTAGTCTTTCATTTTAATCAAGTCATAACCAAAAAGCTGGAATATTTCAAAAGTAAAAGATAAACTTGCAGATCTGCAAATAGTACAAACCAAACAAAAGAAGAACAAGTCTCGAATCAGAAGTGTCTTGACTGTGAGCAAGAAGAGTTAATAAGCAAAAGAGAAGAAGTGAAAGAGAACTTAGAAGCTTCCAAATCAAACTCCACAAAATGATCTTCCATCTGATAACCTCCAATTATCATCCCCATCGGCAGGTTCATTCCTCCGTCCACAAATCCTAAGCAAACCACATCTTTACTCACCTTCACAAGCGAATTGGACCCGTAAATCTTCCACTTTGCACCACCACGCAGCACCAACTCGATCACAGGGACACGGCTTCCCATCATCCACCTCCCGAGTCCTTTGGAGCTGAAACACGAACCAAATGGCTTCACTGCCGGAACTTTAGTCATCATCTTGGCTTTTTCGGGGAAGGCTGAGACCAGAGCTTTGTAGATAGAACCATGCAAGACCGTATAAGGAGCCAACGTGCAGATCTTCGTGGTTTTCTTTAAAAACGGAACGATCTTACCACTAATTTGAATAGAGTTCACATCGATGAAGTACTCGCCACGGGACTGGTCACTAGGAAGCAGAGGTGTGGAAGCAAATATCTTAGAGATATCTTCAGGGTAAAGTGCCATGAAATAAGGACCACCACCGATGAAAAGAGAACCAGTTCCAGAAGATTCTCCAGAGTTTGGTGAAGGCAAGCATAGAGCCACCTTTGAGTGCAGTTTGTATAAAGAAACGATCTGTGAAGGAAGCGCCGTAGGGGTCCTAGCGAGACCCAACGTCCCAACAACAATGGACGGGAACGGTTTAACTAAGGGGTCAACGTTAACGTCGGTGCAAGCTATAGTCATGGTCATATCGATCCCACCTCCCATATACGTAAACCCGTTGTCGGTGTAAAGCAAAGACACGGTGTCTCGGAGGAGACGGGCTTTGAGGGGTTTCTCAGTGAAGGAAGTGGAGAAAGATTTGTGACACGTGGCTTTCTTGGAGGTATTTGTGGTGGGACAGGACAGAGGGTCCGGTTTGGCTTGTATGCATCTAGAGGAGCCGCATTTGATAGGGTGGTAGGAACGGGATTTGGCGGCGGCGGCGCAGGATAGCAACAGTGGCGCGGAGCCACCGAGGTCGATGGCGAGATTGATGTTATGGGCGTCGACGCCTAGGGATAAGGGAGAGTAGTAGAGATTTGTGGCGATGTCTTTACGAATAGGTTGTAGAAATGCTTGAGGCTTTTCGTTTAGAGAGTGTGATGTGTTTGTGAGGGTGAAAATGATTAAGCAGAGGACATGGATCATACCAAGACGAGCCATTTCTTGTGTATTGTTGAACTGAGAAGAGTAGTAGATTTATATATTTACTGATACTACATAGTTAAGGTCATCTTCTTCTTTCTTTTGAAATATATAGATTAATAAAGTCGAGATAACTCAGACATCTATATCGATGCAGCCAGCCTACAAAGAAAGGCAAAAGTAATAATTGTCAGATGTTGTATTTCAGCCAAGTTGCTCAGCTTTCAAATATACAAATTCTCGTCGGTGATTCAAATTATTATCTTATCCACATGGTTCAGTTTTCAAGATATTAATTTACTTCTTCGAGTAATATTATTATTAGATTAATATTTTCTTTTACCTAGTTTGGTTTCAAAAGTATAAATTTACGTTAACGATTAATATTAGTATTAACTATTAACTACATTTTGATCTGCGCAACCACACAAGTATTTATGAACAACCGCACGAGTATTTGCTTTTTTTTTGTATATATAAATATTTGTTTTAAAACATAATTGGTATATATTTTTAACATTAATCATATATTAAAATATATATTTAACTATTGTAAATACAGTAATTTTATAACTTGCATATTAATCAACTGTTAAACCCCATATATATTTATCCCTTCTTAATATATATTTATTTTATTGTATTTGTAATTAGTTATTAAGAAAATTAATATATTCATGAGAAAACATATTTTTAACAATTATTTTCTATTTGATTTATGATAAATTCTGATCCGACTTTTAAAACTGAATTTTATTTTACCAGTATTTTTCTGTTTAGTCATTTTAGAAATAAATTATTGTATATACAAAAATATAAGATATGTTAATTTTTAGACATATATTATATAGTTTCCTAATTTTAAAGTGTTTTATCAACATATCTTATATATTAAAAAAAAAGTTGACTTGACTTCATGTGTGATTTAAAAAAAAAATGGACTATAACTAGAAAATCATGTTACATTAACTCTCTAATAATAATAAAGATACGCTTAACAATTTGGTTTTGATAAATTACCCCACAACTTCCAATTTTCACGCAAAATATGTCAATAGATATAAGTTTAGGAATCTTCTATTACTTATAAGGAAATATGTCAATAATAGTTAAATATATCCACAATATATTAACAAAAATCACAGATTTGTAATATGAAATATTTATATGCACTAACAAAATTTACACGCTATATATACTAAATAAATTTATTTCGAGGTAACTTTTTAAAATTATATTGTATAAAAATTATTTTTTAATAAAATTCTGTATAATATTAATTTATGAAGTTATAAGTTTAGTTTTTAGCAAAAAAGTTTTTGAAGTTTATATTATCTTTGCAAATTAAAGTATACTAATATTTAATCAAGCTCTATTTATATTACTTTATCTAAAAATGAAATACCAATCTAACAAACAATAAAATATAAAAAAGAAACAAACACATGTTTGAAAAACATGTATAATATAAAAAAATTTGAAACAATCTATTTGATTAAAACATGTATTATATAATATTATTATGTTTCAAAAACATTTACTATACATATCGTAAATATGTGATTATTATAATATATATCAATTTTACAAGTGAAAACAAAATGGTTATATAATTAAATATAAACGAAAACAAAAACCCGCGCGGTTGCGCGGGTCAAAATCTAGTCTTATATATTAAAACATAAGTCATGATTTTTTTTACGTATGATATTTCATTTTAGACCATCTCTTAGAAAATCATCATATTTAATTATCTAATCATTTAGTTTTTATAGTAAATATAATCACAAATATTTCTTATTAATATATTAATAAATCAACAATATACAATTTTTAAAGAGAATTTCAAATTTTTTTACTATGCTAAAATAAAATATCTGCATTCAAAACTAATAAATTAAATATACCAACTGATTTATAAAAAAATATTTTAACCTATTAATCTAATAAGTATTAACAACATTATAACTATTTTTCAGGCCATTAACTATTTTGTAGAAACGTCATTAACAAAAAAATCATATGTAATACAATCATAATATATGATTATATATACATATGATCGTGTATATTATTTTTAGTATTATGTTATGCAACCATAACATATGATTAATGTTATTATTTCGATGATGTCAAAAAAATATCACAATATGTGATTGATCTTTAATATTATTAACATTTTTATCAAATTAATACCATTCTAAAATATATAATAGAATTCATTTATAATCATATAACTACCTTTAAATATACTTAATAATATATATTTAATACTATTTTCTAGAATACTGTTCAAATGTTAAATATAAATTGAAAACTAATTTGACATAAAATAAATTGTAATCTAAATAATAAAGAAAAATATAACATTTTTTTGTGAAACAAATGTATTTACAAACATAGACATACTAATATATATATATATATATAATCAACTAAATTACACTATTTGCATTTTTTTTCTTACTTTGAAATTTGACTTGTTCCGACAATTTTTTTTAAAAAAAACTAATTTACTATTTTATCTAACCACAAACATTATTAACTATTCAACTAATCATAATTCAACAAATAAAAACGCTAAAATGAGAATAAAAATTGTATAAAAAGAAAAATGAATAAATTTATATTGAAAATTAAAAATATCATCTAATTTAAAGTGAAAATAATTCTCTAAAATGTCATATATTAAAAAAAAGTGAATACATTCTACAAAAAAAACATTAGAAAATTTTATGCTTTGTATAAAATTATAAAATTACAAGTTACTTATATAAGATATCAATTTGATTGTTTCACCATACAAACCGAAATACGAAACCGATATAGTTTACAATTTCTTCAATTCAATTAGAAAAACACCAGCGCGGTTGCATGGATCAAAATCTAATTATATTTTTAAAATAAATAGTTTATATTTATGAAAATAAAATTTATAAATTTAATTTACTTTTATCATATTTAGTTCAATATAATAATTGTCTTTTAACAAGATGATTATGATTATGAAGTAAATCAAATATAATATAATTAATTTTTTTCATTTTATAACGATAACATAAGAACATTAACTTATTGTAAAATATTTTTACACAGATTTATTAGAATTTTTAAAATTTAAAAGTAAATAAATATATTTTTATTTTTAAAATAAAAAGATATCATGATTAAAGCAGTTATAAAATTTTTATATTATTAGATTTAGTGAAATACATGTTAGTTTATATACATGTATTCTATAGTTTGCTAATGTTAACCTGTCTTACCAACAGATTAGATTTAATTTTTGAATATAAATATTTTATACTTACAAAACTAAACTATATAAATTTATATATTTAATAAAATTCTATTATATTTTGCTTAATATAGTAATTTTCTTATAATATGATTGCTTATGATTATATAATAGATAATATGATATATTTTTTTTTATTTTTTTTATAAACTTAGATAAATATATTAATGTATAATAATATTTCAAACTAATTTCAGAATTAGTGAAATATTTAAATATAATATCGAAAATGAAGATCTTATAAAAATCTCTTAAAACAGATTTGTTAGAATTTAAATAAATATATTCATATTTAAAATGAAAAGATATCAAAAGATAATATGATTAAAGTATTTTAAAGCTTCTATATATTATTAGACTTTATGAAATACATATAGTAAAAGTTTCTACTCATGTTCCATTTTTTAAAAAATATCACACATAAATTAAGATCATGAATTCTGTTTTAATATATAAAATTACTATTACTCTCCTGGTTTAGTTTCAAGACAAACTATATTTTTGAAATAATATTAATACTATTAAATTCTTATTGTATGCACACAGTTTATTTTTTTTTCTTTTTGAAACTATACAGTTTATTTTTCAAGAAATAAATTTACTTGTTCGATTAATATTAGTATGATATATACATAGCATGCTTTTCTGATAAGCATGCTTTGCTGATAAGCTTAGTGATCTGTTTATACAAATATAACTAGATAATATCTGCGCAGGATGAAATATTAATGTTTGTTCGATTTTAATATTTTTAAACATTATAATCTTTACCGATTGTAAAATGACGAATACAAATATTAGTCTCCTAAATATTAGTCAGTCGGTTTAAGTTCGATTGATTTAGATTTTCAAATTTTTGATATTATGCTCTTCAGTCTCATTCAGGTTTTACTAAAATGTTTGGTCAATAGAACTATAATATTTGAAATAAGTCAGCCATTAGGTTTGTCTGGTTCACGAACATGGTTTTACATTTGACAGGGTGTCTTGTGTTGTAAGGGATGTACATCTCAAACTAAATTCCGCATGTAACCCGAATCAGTGCACCACCCTGACAAAAGAGGTTTTTGGAATTACAGCTTGGACATATGAAGTTGACGCCTTCTCCACCTTCAACCCTGACCAACTTCTAAAGTGAGCGGATGGATGCGATCACCTATCTTGTTATTCTGTTAGTAATTGCTATTTCCTAATCATTTCCCCTATGCTTAACTACTCCTCTCACCCCTTATACTTAGGGGGAAGCTTAACTAGCGTTTAATATTATAGAAATTATGTATGTTTTACCACACCACTCACCTTTTATTTATAGATTTCTTGCATTGTGTGAAGATCGATACCTACTTGCGTTAACCAAACCTTGAACGATCTTCTGCTTCTTCAATAGAACTCAAAACCGTAAACGAATAGAGAACACACACGAGATGTTGACCCGGTGTTCACTGCACCACTCTATCAACCGAGAGTTGCCACTATACTTCATCGGAGCTGAGATTGAACCAGCAATAGAGTATACCTCAACGGATGAACTCACAATCCAAGCCATAGTCTTTACAATGTTATCTTCTTGGGTTCTCTCTCTCTCTCTATCTCTATCTGATGACTGATTTAACAACCTAATCAGCTCAGGACCTATCCTAGCTAACAATCAGCTTACAAACTATAGATAAAGGTAACTAACCACCACTCGTGTACATACCACACGCGTGAACCTAGCTAAGAGAAAGAGAGAGAGAGCCCGGTTTAAATCAATTACAAGCTTAACCATTCTAAATCGAATCTAATCTAAGCTTAATTAAACTAAACCTAAACCAACGACAGAGACTTGTCTATAACCAACAAATCTCC